CTGATGGAGACCCCCCCCCCCTCCCCCCCCCCCCCCCTCCCCCCCCCCCCCCCTCCCCAGTTCACCACCAGCCTTTTCTTTCATGTTCTGTAAAATTGGAAACGTGTGCAGAGGGGGGATATGAATGTGTGTTCCTCTGGGCACCTGCTTTTAATTTCCGAACTTAAAAGGCATCCTCATCAAAAGGAGTTCTGACACTCCGGGCTTGGGCCCTGCTAACACCCCCCACCCACACCCCTGTCACATGTGGCGCTCCATCGTAAGACCCAGCCTTCTGCAGCCTTGTTTCGCTCTGGTTCCGCTGGGCACAGTACTCGGGTTGTCTCTCTTTCTCTCTCTTTCATCTGCCAGTTCCTACGTGATAAAACGGATTTTGACGATGGGGGACCTTAAGAAAATGTCATTAGTTTTTCAAAGATTCCCCATGTTATCTGACGGATCTATAAATTTAGAGAAGAGGCTGATTTTGATACTTTCTCTGCAAAATTTTGTCCTCTTCTAGTAATGCCTGGTCAGGACTGTAGGGATTAAGGATTCTTCTCAGAAAGGCTAATACATAAGGTAGTATATCCCCAGACTGACATGCCAGCCCAGCCCATGAAATGGAACTCTTTTTTTTCTTCATTTGCCATTTACAGGTGTTTCTTTTCAATGCGCTTTCCCTTGAAACACACATACAGGTAAGCAGGGTCTTCTCGGGGGTTTAGGGGCCCCAAGACGCATCGCGGGCCCGATCACGAGCGCTACCCTGCCCAAGCGGAGTTCTGAGTCACCGGATCACCTGGACGGTGTGGTTTGTAGATCGTGGGAGGAAGGCAGAGCAGCAGAAGCAATGTGATTAAGTGCCTCAGTCAGTCCCATAACTGAGGGGTGTCCACGCGTAGCTGCATGGGTCGGGGGGGGGGGGGAGCGCTTCACCCGTGCCGTAGGGGCCCGCCAGTTTGGCGGGTTTGGGCGCCGGGCCCCTGTGGCCGTCCGGGTCGGCGGCCCAGACGCCCCTGAGGTTGACAGACTTACATAGTGTGGTTTTGCTGGCTTGGTAACTATACAGCGACAGCAATCCGGGACCTGACCGCTCTGCATGTATATATTTTTAAAATAACCCCCGAGCTGCAGTGGGTGCCTTTATTTATGCTACACTCTACTGTTTTCGTCTCGGGGGACAGTGAAAATACCATTGGCTTCATGCCCCACGAGCGATTTTAAAATGTACTCTGAGGATGCATTTCTCGTCCTCTATTTGCGGCATGCAGATCGGCGCTGAGTGTATTTCGGATTCGCTCTCGTAGGTCCGGCATCAGACGCTGGGAAGCTGCACGTCTGGTTTGAGCGTCCTTTGTTTTGTTTTTTTTTAGACTTATGCGGTTAGATTGCATCTCTGCTCTGGACACAGATATGCCCTGGAATTCCTCGATCGGTCTTAGGAGCGTGCCTTTCACAATTGCAGCGTCCCTTCGCCCACATGAGGAAGGGTATTACGGAGCAGGATTGTGCAAGGCGAATGGTGATACCACACAATCTTCACCACCAATCAGGCGGCAAAGGGAGTCTCTGCCACATGTCATGTCTATACTATATTTCTATCTCCCACATTTTATATTATATTGATTATTTTTCATTTGCATTACGACCAATAACCAACGACCTGAGACCAATGAGAACACAATTTTCCAGCTCAGTGTAACTCCATGTGTCACATATCTGAAGCTGATGATAAGATATTTTGACTCTCCCACATGCACCCAACCTCACTAGTGAACTCCTGCCTAACCCCACGGTTGAAGCGGGATGTCACTCGTGCCCCCAGCAAGTCCTCCCAGTGGGGGCCTGGTAACCATTACTCCAGACCCCGCGCTCTTAAGAGACTCTCTTCTTGCTGTGAAGAGACCGTATCGGCAAATGTTCTCCCCGAGTTTCAAACGCTGACTCGTGGCTTCGCTGACTCCTCGTGGGACGCTGGTGTTGGGCCCAGCTCATGCCACTTTGGTAGATTTGTATGGTGACACATACTCTACCAGGTTAAAGGGGACAGACATGAAGACTAAATATGCCCCTTAGTCATTCTTGTTTTGTACAGATTTTTAAGACACTCCCCCTTTTAAATTTATGAAATGCATTCATTGGTATTTTCTTCCATTGATAAATGCTGAGTACTCTAAAGCAGAAAAGAACTACGCAAACTTAAAAACAGATATGCATTTGCGATTTCAGTAACGCCTTTAATTAATCCTTGGTACTTAATAATTCTGTCCTTATTTTGGAGCACAATAAAGTGTATGTGAATGTTTTTTATTTTTATAGCTGCTGTATATAGATTTAATCGGTTAAGGCGTGTGTTTGGGTGCATTGTGCAGCGAGGGCCTTCTGACTGTGGTGGGGGAAATGGGCCGTCACAAATGCTCCTTAGCGAAGAGCTTTAACGCCATGTTTGCGGTGCAGTCGTGACGCAGACGGCCAGGACCAGCAGGTCGGCCCCTGCGGTGAACGCTAACAGCAGCTGGCCATGAATCATAGGCCACCTCCCGCCATTACGCCCCAGGAACGCCAAGACATCTCCCAAGACTTTTCACACCCTTCAAGGGGGATTTGGCCAAATCCCATTTGTGTAGAGGCTGCGACAAGGAGCGTCGCGTGAGCACTTTTGTGCGTGTGTGTGCGCGTATACAAGTCTTTGTGGGGACTCACGACTTATTTCTATGGGCATAACCCTAATCGCAAGTATGACAACCTTATCCCTACCCAGCCATAACCTTAACCATAAGTAACCAAACAAAATATAAGACTTCTGGCATTTTTCATTATTTTGACTGCAGTCAAAATTTTTATAAAATTGAGTTTTCCCTTGTAGGGTCCAGAAAATGGTAATGTAACATATCACACACACGTCTGTCTGTCTGTCAGTCAGCCTGCTGTACTTTTCCCATCCCACTCTCGATGGCAATAGTACTTGAGTGAAAGCCGTTGCTTTTCCCCAAACACCGCAGCACAGACTCTGATCCCTCAGAGTAGTTGGAGTGTTTGTTTTGTCTTACGTTCTGGGCTCACGGAGACTTCCTCTCACAGCATGGTCTGCGTTAGGAAAGCCTTCGACCATGCTCTCCTCCTTCTGGGGTGCTGATTATTGTCATATTTGGCTGCCCTGACTTGTGCAAACTATTTTTAGGTGTGTTGTCTTTTTTAGTCCATCTTATGTGTTTTTCTTTTCGTCCGTCTTTTCGGAGTTGCGTATGTGGTTGAGCAGGTTAGGGATCTCTTTGGAAGGTCATGGGTTCAAATCTCACAGCTGGCAGGGTAATCATATCACCACTGGGCCCCTGAGCAAGACCCCTTAAACTGATGCCCCTATTTACTCCAGGGATGCTGGCTGACACTGCTCTCTGATTGGTCAAGAGTGTCTGCTGAATAAATATATGTAAAATATTAACATTTGTGCTTGCCTGCTTCCTTGCATGCATGTGTTTGCGTGTGTTTGGTCTTATAAGATGTTGAGCATGTCTCTTTGAGGGATAATGACTGTGCTGCTGACTCCTGGAGACATACTGGCTGACTGCTGCTCTGGGGTGGGGGGGTCCGGCCTGTCTGTCGCCCTGCAGGCTGTGGGGAACATCTCATCCGCACCATGCTGGCCCGGGAGTGCTCGGCGTCTGTCCAGTCAGAGGACGCCCACCAGTCGCTACTGGACACTATGCAAAACAAGTTCATTAGTGAGTATCACACCCGCCAGTCCCTATGGGTTTGTTAGTGAGTATCACTCCTCCCAGTCCCTATAGGTTTGTTAGTGAGTATCACTCCTCCCAGTCCCTATAGGTTTGTTAGTGAGTATCACTCCTGCCAGTCCCTATAGGTTTATTAGTGAGAACCACACCCACCAGTCCCTATAGGTTTGTTAGTGAGTATCACTCCTGCCAGTCCCTATAGGTTTGTTAGTGAGTATCACTCCTGCCAGTGAGTCCCACACCCACCAGTCCCAGCGGAACACTATGCAAATCAAGTTTGAGTACCATGCATACTCTATCCTCTGCTTTCTTTGACGGTCACTGCAGTGTGGTTCAAGCATTGTGGGTCGGGGTGGGGGACGGTTAACCAGCTCGGTTGCTAGGAGTCACGAAATCGGCAAAGCTACTGGCCTCAAGTTGCGGAATGCCTCTTTACGCTCCAGTGGGGTCTGCGAATATGGCCCCGGTGTTTGTTTTTAACAGCCTCAGGCATTGCCAAACAGAGTAAATATTCTGTTGACAGTTTATTTAAATCGGACCCCTCAGAAGTGGTCAGCGTTTCGGATAGCCCGCTCTGTTGGCATGGCGATCCCAGGCCAATGAAAGCAAGTGACCGTTTACGCTGAAAGGAAGACGGGAATAAATGACCCTGTGGGCTGTATGTGGGAAGAGTTTGGATCTCTTATTGTTTTGGGCCTTTTATTGCCCTTGGTTTGCTTTAACACAGACAGACATTGTGGCCGGGACACTGGACAAGCTTTTGATTTTCAATCCGCTGCTAAGTATCCAGTTTTTCGGTTTTGACCATGTGCATGCATGCACATCCTCGAAAAACATTTTATGACAGTGAAACAACAAGTGCAAAGTGCAGCTTTACCTGATCGCTTAGTCATGTTTGCTACACAATTGGAACGTATCCCAGAATTGGAATGTTTTTGTGGAATTCGACTGGCTGCGTTTATTGGGGAATATTTCGCACGACCAAGATGGAGAATCATTTGCAGTCGTGTGGATTCTGAGGAAAGGGAAAGTCTGTGGTGGCTTTGGCGGAACGAGCACTTAAGTCTCGACACGCTAGGCGGTTGGCGTGCAGATTGGGGCGGGGGATGACAGGAAATAACAAACTTGTTCTTTCAGTATTTGTTTCATCTCTCGCCTAAATCGGCAGCTATATGCCGGAGCTGCATTAAAGATTTTTATCTCAATAATTATTCACCAACAAACCACATGCTTTCATCACTGCTGCCTTCAGCTGACCTCCGGCTTCATGACTTCCTCTCGTGACCAAACCTTTTCTGTCTCTTCTATGGAAAAGATCCCAGTCTGTTCATTCTTCCCCCCTCTTACCAAGCTGTCAAAAATATATGTGTGTCATTTTGAAGGTTTCCTACAAATATTTACTTCATCAAGGAAACCTACGTCTGCCGTAATTGATAATTACTAAAAATGTCAAAATCCGATTGTTGAACTCGGACCGGTGCGAATGACATGGAATTTGTTCCTCATTTCCTTGCTGAAATAAAGGCTATAGAGGCAATAATTGTTAGCAGTTGTTTAGCTTGGAAGGAAACATAAGGATAGTGTATAGGTTACACAGCACATTAAGTTCTTCATAAAAGTAGAAATTTGGCTGGAGTGATTCAATGTTTTGGCACTGTGGACTATGACATAGGGGAGAGTTTGACATTGGGGGGAGGGACACACACAACATAATTTTATATATGACAATCTTTGTATTGGTGGGATAAGTTATACATTGAGGGTACACACCACCATCCCCAGTTCCTCTGGCTGTGGACATGGTGGTGGCCATCACAGGTTGTGGCCCTGTATGTGGGTAAGGAGACCAGAAGGTTGTTGGTTCAAATATCAGATGAACTGAAACGCCCTAAACTTTAAAAAAGTTACACACCCAAAAAATTGCACTACACAAAACTTATCAGCCAGAGGGGTGAGAGTATTATCAGGTGTGAGCCAAATGAGTTACTTCACTAAAAGTGTAAAAATCTCAAGATAGTAGACTTCTGCATCACACTTCTGCAAAATACTGATAGTAATATTAATTACTCAAACAGTGCATGTATTTCCCTGGTTATGAAGAAGTGGGCAACATTTCTGAGTAATTGATATTGTGTAAAAATATTCCCATGAAGCTTTGATGATCATTGGTGGAAATTCGGTGTCTGGTTGGCTGATTTTTTTTAAGTTGATATTAATTTGCAAATTGTTTCTAAAGCAGATCATCTTCTACATTAATTGGCCACAAAACCAAGTGACAGTATCAAGCTCTTGGGTTCCTGCTGTGTTCTGCCAGGCTCACCGTTTCTGGCCAGTGAAGACTGTGTCCTGGGGGGCGTCATCGTCTTGAGATGCTGCAGATGTGCAGATGCCCCGCCCTCCACGGATCTCCGGGCTCTGCTAGGTAAGAGGGGCCCCTTCCTGACCCAAGAACCAGAGGCAGCACTTTGGCTCACCTGCTGTTCACCGGTCCTTGTTGAAGAGTAGCAGAACTCTTGGTGTTTGGGAACCTGCTGTAATGGTGACATCGCCCCCTAGAGGCGAGGAAAGAAGTCCGTATGTTTCCGATTGACTTGGGGGGCTAAGTTTTTAATTTGGCAAGCTAATGTGTCTCACCGGGGGGTTGTGCAGGCTCTGCTTACTGGCGATGTGGCTTCGATCTCGGTGTGGGGTGAAATCCATTATGTAATGTCCTGCGTTTGTGAGCACAGGCACCAAGTTTCATCACAGCACGCATCTGTGAGTAGGTCCAGGGCCCAGGGCTTTCACACCAGGCCTGTAAATGTCGATACTCCCATGGGGGTCGTCTGTACCAATTATTTTGTGAGTCTCCCAGCCTGAAGCATTGCCGACGTTTGGTGGTGAGTCACTAGGTCAGTGTTTTTTCACCTCGTTTTAATTTCTTGGCTGTTTCAGATTAGACTTTTGGTCGGTTATCTACGAAGCAGTACAAATGGTTGCCTTATTATTAAGATGGAGGCTGGTTGTGGATAGCTTTCAGAAGATCATGTGCAAGGTGTTGGTCATGGGAAGTATTCTTCTGACGGAGTATCTCAGCATGCTCACTGAAATATATCATGCACAGCTTTTTAATTAAATTTTTTGCCCCTCAAAACGAGAGTTGTAACACTCCTAACAAACACCCTCTGTCCCAATCACTTTTTTTTTTGTCACAATTGCCATTTTTTGGGAAGTATATGAGCAAGATGTGTATTTCCACAGGTGGAAATGTGGTCATGTATCTGTCACCTTGACTGATTTCTACAGCTTCGGAGTTTAGGTCCTGGAAGGTCTCCTTACCTAAAAGAAGAACTAGTTTTGAACAGTTGAAGAAACTATTTTGAACTTCAGGGTTGAACTCCTTTGTTTCTTTAGTAACCAATAGAAATGTTTTCCTGACACACCACCTCCACGTCCTTCCAGTACCCAGGATTACCAGTAATGTTCTGTCTGTGTTCCCTTCCGCTTTGGCAGTGGAGTTCCTGTGGAGCCACACAACAGAGAGCATGTGTGTGGGGTATATGTCAGCCCAGGACGGCAAGGCCAAGGTGAGTCCTTCGCGAGAACCTGGAATAGCACTGCTCTGTCTGTCCAGTGTGTAGAACAGATGGGTGCGTCATAAGAACATAAGAACTATACAAACGAAAGGAGGCCATTCGGCCCATCGAGCTCACTTGGGGAGAACTTGACTAATAGCTCAGAGTTGTTAAAATCTCATCTAGCTCTGATTTAAAGGAACCCAAGGATTCAGCTTGCAGTACGTTATCAGGAAGACTATTCCATACTCTGACTACAGTGCTTCCTTAAATCCAGTTTGAAATGTTCTCCTGTCTGTGTATTTAAGTATTTAAGGTCCTGTGGATGGGGTGTGCTGCTTCACCCCTGTTCATGGGGGGCGCTGCTTCACCCCTGTTCATGGGGGGTGCTGCTTCACCCCTGATCATGGGGGGTGCTGCTTCACCCCTGTGTGGAAAGAGACCAACCAGGAGAACAGAGCTTCCATCATAGGGGTGTGTGACTGTACTGCTAATCACTGTAGCTTTGAATATTTTCCCTACAAAGTTTTCATGTCATTAAAATGCCAAAGTGAAAAGGTACCTAATAAACAGGAAATAGTCATGCAACGTCTGGCACAATGTTTACATTCAAAATGGGAAGTTTATTCCTCCAAAGATAGCTAAAGGCAACGTCAATTACGCCATGCTTTTCCTAATTAAGGCTCATTTAGATATTCTTATATGAAGACATTTTGTGTGTGTTTTACTCAGGCCCTGTGGTTTGAGTCATAGACTAGCTGCAGGCCTTGTTGAAAGTTGTTTTACATCAAATTTTCCAGAATTTACAACAGTTTATTAGAAAAATATGACAGGAGAAACAAATTAGTTCTTTGGAAAAGTATGTGGTAGTGTGTAAAGAAGAAAAAAGGAAAAGTTGTAAAAATGTACTACGTGCAGCCCAACATAACTGGAAAAGTGAACAAAAAAAAATTGAACTAGTGCCAGTCCTGCGCTTGACGTTCTTTAATATTCCTTGTGAACATGTTTCGACACTCGTTCACACGCACGGATTGAAATTCAGGCATGAACAGTCTGTGTGCATGGGACACAGAATTCCCAGCGACCGGTAAAACAACATCTCCGTGAGAGGAAGCACAATTTTGCCACTTCCAATATTTTAGCTCCCTCATCTATTTGATATACCAGGAGGCCTCGGTGAGGCGTAAGTACATTTTTCCATTTCTTCTTCATCTATTATTATTATTAGGAGTCGTGCCCAACAGACAGTGGATGCCTCACTCCACTGTAAAACTAATAAATCCCATCATATTGAAGACCAAACACTACAGAAAGTTTTTACGGGCTTATTTTGGGGCTTAATGCATTGTAACATCCCCCAAGCAGCGAGAGGCAGGGTTAGTCCACAAGGCCCCTGAAGCGTTGAGGTTGTGTTGAGGCGAAGGACTCTGCGTAATAGAGCATCCATGAAGAGCCAAGCTATTACCGTAACACGCATGTATTTGCACACCATAATATGTATGTATTTTCAGCTATGATTAATCAAAAGATACATTTTTCTTAGATGAATTCATGTGGAAAAATAAGGGTCTTCAGCCATTTTCCAGACATGGCTGCCTTGGGCACTGGTTGCCGTTTATTCCAGCGTTAAGCATGGTGGCTTTTCTCCATAGAGGAGGTAGAGGTGCCGCTGCCTGACTGCTGCCCGCTCCTCTCTCCCTTGCGCCACCTGGTGTCGGCCCTAGGTAGACACCGCGGGTGTGACCACAGGGGAGAGGCGCGGCCGCCTGCCTTCCCAGCGTGGGCTGCCTCGGGACATCTGCCTCGCATTGTCTGCGCCTCCACCAGCCAGGTGGGCGCAGCTGCTGCTCCCGCGCAGCTTTGAAAGCTGCCTTTGACTGTCCTTCAAGGGGGCTTACCATCCCACCCCCGCCTGACCCGCCGCGAGCCCCACGGCCGCATATGCTTTCCAGAGCGGACCCCGATCAGGCAGTAACCGTCAGAGCTAGATGGGCCAGACTGAAGGAAAACCGCCGCAGTCCAAATGTCCTGCACGCTCTCGTCTGGAAAGGGATTGGCACGTTGCTCATGTATTCTCCGTGTTGTCTCTTTGATTTATGTGTTTTTGTTTTCTTTATACGACTGTGTTTTCCCGTATTATAATAGTCGTCTTTTTCCTTTCTTCTGCCTGCCTGCCATCGCCTGCCATGCTTCTCTTCCCCTGTATTTAGGGGGGTGTGAAGACCTAAGATTCATTGTCCTCCGTCTTGTGGGTTGCGTGACGGACTGCTGAGGCCTCGTCAAAAATACTCAAAGGCCACGTGCATCTTCTTTCCTTTCATCCGCTGGACTTGGTCCCCTCGTTCTGGGAGCTCGCGCCACGACCATCCGGGTCGTCCTAGAGGAGTGACTGTGTGTCTCTGAACTAGTGGCAAGGCACCTGGAGGTCAATGCGTAGCTTCCTCACCTGCGGGAGGCGCTCATCTCATTTCAGATAAAGACCCGAAACAGCGGCAGAATTGTGGGCCGTCCGCGGTGGGTGATTGTGGCCCTAAACACGCTAATGCTTGGTCACAGAAGCATGCGGCCCTCTCTCCCTGAACAGGGTCATTCCTGGGACATTCCTTTCATTCCCACCCTGGCTGAATCGCACGTGTTCGCCCGAAGATTTGCCCCCTCCCTTTTGACATGATAACAGGCGAGATTTTCTGTATGAGCAGCTGCTGGCAATCATTTCGGCCTCTAGGTGGCGAGAGCATTAAATATACCTAGCTAATTCAGCGGCCATTGTTGCCTTAGTGGAAAGTGAAAAGTGACGATCTGTGACCAAAATTACCAGCTTTATCTACCCCCAATGTTTTTATTGAGTGTGAGGTCGACGACTGAGGCTGAGTGGAAGTTAACCTCATAAATTTGTTGTATGGCTCTTTTTGCCAGAGCCGGAATTATGAGACCAATTAATTGCCTGCGCTGCTGAATGTAACCTCTCCTGGCAGCATTCATTAGTGGGTTCAGCCCACCCCGTCCACTTGTTCCACAAGGCTTTGGTTTTCAGTGCGTCATCCAGTGCCGGAGGGCCCGGTTGCTTGGCTCGAGTGAGTCAGAATTCCCGAGGCGGGTCTGGAGGTCACTCGGTGCTGCTAGCCTCTTTGGGCCTTGTCCTTGTGGAGATGCATGCATGCGTTCAGATAAAACCACCGTGCAACAAAGCGTAAGGCTACTGCATTCCTGTCCTCGAACCTCAGCTGGGCTGCATTTCTTAAAGGGACGGCGTGTTTAAGATCAAGTCGGCTGTCACTCAAATCTGGTGGATATGTATTCCTTTCACGGGGGGGTACTGCCCTGCTCTTTCTCAGCTTTGCCCTCTCCAACTTGCTTCTTGCCTTTCGGCCAGATGTGACGTTTAACCGCACGCTTCTCCATGGGCGATTAAGAGCATGAAACGGGATCAAACAGCACAGGGACTGAGAGAGAGGTGGGGGGGGGGGGCTCGGGGCGAGAGAAGTGCCGCTGTCAAAACGGGCCCAGTCAGCCCTTGTAAATCGCTGTCTTTCCAAAATGAAAGTGGAGACCTTCGGGTCCGAAGCACTCGCTCACCTGGACGCGTAATTGGGCACTTGCCCAGATGTGAGGTGTGGAGTTGTTTTACAGCTTTTTCGGGAGGATCAAACATGGCCGCCCTGCGGTTGCGTTTCGTTATGACATTAGGGCTTATAATGATATCTGCGGAGCCCCTTCGCCCCTAAAATTCCGACCTATAAATTAAATGTAGAGTATTGCGGCTGTCTGGCTGCTATCGCCGGCCCATTTGTAACCCAAGAGGCAGGGCTGATTGGTCCCGGTCACACACGCACAGCCCGCCTTCGTCTCCGAAGCGTTGGTGCATTCCGGAGGTATTAAGACGGCAGCCTCAGCCTGCAGCTTGCAAAGCTGCTGGTGTCACTGCTCTGGATGCCTTTTGCTGATTGAGCTGTAGAGGATTCAACCCAACCAGCCCCCCCCCCCCCCCAAATGGTCAAGCGCGCATGTTCGCAAGCCAGAACAGTGACTTTGCTATTTACTTCTGAAATCTGCTCTGCGATCTGACATGACATGGGACGCATTTTCCTTTTTGGTTATTTTCTGTGGAATACTATTGTATTGTAATAGATGGATCTGGGGAACATTAACTCAGCAGAATCCAAGAGATGTCTGTGACCTGCCCGGGTCGGACGTCTGCCAGACTGTGCTCGCAGCAGGTCATGTGACCACACGTGTCCCCCTCTTTTGTGGGAGTTTTGGAGCCCAGGCAGGTCCGGGTCCAGGTGGCATTGCAGGGTGTCTCCATGGGCTGGGGCATGTGCCAGCGTCCGGCGAGGCCGCTTACCTCAGCCTGCTCCGTTTTTACGGCTCTCCCTCCCGTGCTCCTGCCCGCTTTGTTTTCTCCTTGGCTGTAATTCGGCCCTTAATTTCAGCCCCAAGGAGAGAAATTCTATATTTGAAAGGGGGGCAGCTGGTCGGCTGGAATCTTGGCCCAAAAGAGCAGCTGCCAAAGCTGCCCACCCCCCCCCCCCCCCCCCCCCCCCCCCCCCCCCCCCCCCCCCCTCGCTGGCGGGCTGATTGCTTTCCCGAATGGCTGTGCTTGAGGGTGGAGCAGACAGCAACGCCCTGGGCAGGCCGCACTTTATGCACCTTGTCCTTTTGTGAATATGAGTGAAGTAGATTTACAGCATTTGTGTGGAGGCCAAAGGGCTTCTGCCTCCCAGTTTAACCCACTGCAGTCCAGTGTAGGGAGTAGGGATGGCGAAAACTAAAAAATTTCTTGACCGACCACCGAGCCTCAGTAGCCGGTTGAAACCGGTTAACCGATTAGTTTAAAATATGGTACGCTATTTGAAATAACAGCCATTTCGAGCCGCGCCTGCAATTTCGCAACTCTGTCGCATCTCTCTGCCGCTCTGCCTCCCGCACACACACACACACACTGCCACTCACGTCACTTTTTTTAAATCCCCTACAGCGCGAAACATGAGTCCCGCAAACGCGGCGCCGAAGAGCTTGTTGTATGTAATCGTAGGACAAATGGCTCCTTAGTTTCAAATGGTTTGGGTACAAGGTGATCGCTTTGAAAATAAAGGCGTTTGTCTAGGTTAGAAGCTCATTTGAAACATTGCCACGGCTCATTTAAGAAAATGACAGCTCCGAAGAGACGCCGCTTTAGTTGAGGTAGTGCTAACCATAATAAAGAAAGATGATGATCATCATCACCTTATCGGTTAACACTGAAATGTAGATGTAATGTATTTCCACATCTAAGCCCATCTTATGCGGAATGTTGCCTAATAGACTGCAACATGATAAAACCAATGGATAAAACAGGCACCTTCAGAATGCGTAAAAGACGCACCGGCCAAGGCAGGTCTAACTCACTGTGTGCCTTCTAATAACGGACAGGACAACTCTGTTGTATAATTAATATTATTTTTTTATTTTTCAAAAAGACAAGTGTCAACTTCTGTTAAGGGCAACATCTCCTAAACCATAACAGACAAAAACCTACAGCTATTCTTAAGAATAACATTAAATAAACGAAAAATTATTAGAATCTATGAATGAGAATACTGTAGCCAACAAACAGCTCACAGACAGGTGTTAAGGGTGCTAATTATTAAAACATAACACAACGATTTGGCCATTAGTTATTCTTGGAAAATAAATTAACGAAAAACAAGTTAAAGTTAAATTTCGCAAACCTTGTGAGCGCGCGAACCCAAACGCTGTGACCTCGCGCCAAATGTTTTTATTGGTTTATTAAGTACAAACAGGCGAGTTATGAAAAATTGAGTGTGAGGGATAATTTGTTCACTTAACACAAAAAGATGAGGAATGAGATGGCTAACTGTAGTAGCGTATAGTCCACTGTCTATAATAGCCTAATTTAGATATCACTTTTTTTTTTAACCGACTACCGACAACTTTGACCGGTTAACGTTGATACGGTCAACCACCGGTCAAACGGTCATCGGTTAACATCCCTAGTAGGGAGCCAGTATGGAGTGAGCTCACAGCCCATGTGGATTATTCACACGTACTCTGCTGGATTAATGGTTAAAGTTCTCTGAGGCTCTGCGGGCTTTTCCTTGTGGCTCAGCAGGGTGGGACACTGTGCCTCTGACCGGAAGGTCGTTACTTCCAATCCTAGGGTTGGCAGTGATACAACTGTTGAGCCCCTGATCAAGGCCCTTAACCCTCAGTTGCTCCAGGGATTGTCTGACCCTGCTTTCAATACTGTGTCGCCTTGGATAAAATTGTCTGCTTAATACAAACGTAGCAGTAATTTTCCTGAGGCTTTTCTGGCTTTACTGTATTAGGTCTGTTTCTGTATGTGTTTGAGATGTGGGAGGATGGGGTCTTAACTGCTGGGTGGGATGAATGTATTCTTGACCAGGAGAGGGCGTAATGGTTAGAACGTTGGGATTGGCCAGCGCTCGCAGTCACGTGATGCTCATGGTGGGCCGCAGGGCAGTTGGCCCAATAGGCGCTGGGCATCTGCCTGTCTGCAGGGTGACTAATAGTTTTTACGGCACATTATGTTTTCTTTCGCTCACTGTGTAGCAGAAGGGCAATGGCTACCAGCGAGTATATTGTAAAACCACAGCAGAAGCGGTAACACTGTCATGGGGCTATTTATATCTATCTCAGCGCTGTGGCACAAATGTAGTGGTTTTCTGCTCTTAAACACATATCTGCATAAGAATTTTTATAATTATTTTTTAATGGGCAAAGCAGTAAAGTTGGAGGGAAAATTCATTTGCATTAAATCGTAATGCAGACCGGCGCTCAGAAAAAAGTTGTGAGGGAGATGAGATGAACTGGCTGAGATGATAACCGACCTCCCTATTGGTATGCGGGGGCTGTGGAAGGGGCTGTGGATGCCATTCCTGTCAGTCATGTCCCTCATTCCTCTGTCCTGTACTCAAAGCGGGAGACTTGCTTGGCTATTACGCTCTGATTGAGCTGTTTTGCTTGACGTTGCCAAGGAGGAGTCATGTGACAGATCACATGACTGATCGCATGACTGATCACGACTGATCACATGACTGATCACGACTGATCACATGACAGAACTTTGCTATTGGAATTGTTTTGGATGGAGAAGCAGTTTTGCTGATAAAATAATGTATTAGATTAAGTTGCCTGAAGTGGAAAACATAAATAAATCAGGTAGCTACATTTAAGGTTCTTAAAGGCAGCGATTTAAGCTTTTAATAAGGTTTTTTGTTGGCTGCTTTATAAAATCGACTCCGCCCATGTCGGTTGGTTGACGAAATCGCAGCCCATGCGTAACTTGAGTCGTATTTTTGCGGATGAAGAAGTAAAGTTGGAAAGACTAAATGGACTGTCGCATCTTCTAAAAGCCCCGTGCCCGGCCTGCCGTGAGCTTGCCTTAAAAATAGAACGCACGTGTCCCGTGCCACCTGTTACTCATCAGTTGTGTACCGATTTGAACCCAGTTTGTTGTTGTTGGCAGCAGCCTCAGACTTGGACAAACGGCCTCGGGCCATTTTTCAGGCCTGGATCTGGAGTAACGGGGTGGACACTCACATGCCGGTGTCCGTCTGCATTTCGATTTCTCCTCCCGCTTGTTTTGACTGTCGTCTTTTGAAGAAGTAAATTAAATCATGGACATTCTTACACGCCCCCCCCCCCCCCATCCCTTTACATTCCCCGCCTCTTCTGCATGTGTTCCACTGAGGAAAGTTCACGAAGTTCGTTCTTGCAAGTTTGTCATGTGCCAGGTTCTTCATGCCGCTCTGCGGTTATGCGTGTGCATCATTTCACACCATTCAATTTGTCTTTTTTTTTTTTTTTAAATTTTTACAACACAGTCAAATGAAATGGTTTGAGGCACAGAGGTTTAGGTGTAACTGAGTTTTGTTGCTGGGGTTGGCGGGTTAGGCCTCTGTGCCTGTAACCATAAGGTCACTGGTCCGTCCTTGGTAAAATAGTCCCATGTCCACTGAGCCCTTAAACGAGGTCCTTAACTACCCAAAATGCTCCAGGTGTGCTGGATTACTGACTGACCCCGTGGTCGAAGCCCAGGCTTTGCTCTCAGTATTTTGTGTGTGTGTCTCAAAGAGCAAGATGGGATGTAAGAAGAAGCATTCCAGTGTATCAGTACTTATACAATACTTATATATATATATGTACTTATATATGCTAATAAATCTTTGAACGGGATTGTCTTCCCCTACAGACGCACATCTCGCGGTTGCCTCCCGGAGCCGTAGCCGGCCAGTCGCTGGCCATCGAGGGAGGAGTTTGTCGCCTGGGAAACCCGACGGACTGATGTCGCCCAGCTTGTCCTGCAGCGATACCTCTGCCGCCCCCCCAGGATGCTGGGGTGGGGGGGGGGTGCAAATGCATGCTGTGGGCTATAGATCCTGCATCCCTGCTAGTAACAGCCCTAGCTTTGCGCTGCCTCTTCCCGTTGACCACGCCCCTACCCCCGCCCCCTAACCCATGCTTCTGATTGAGGTCTTTACTTTGCTTACCCATCATACACCTCTGCACATGCTTTCCTATATAAGCTAAACATGGTCTTCGAACAGGGTGGACATAGATTTATTTTTATTTTGTAATTCCATGTCATTTTATGTATCACATTTTTTGTATTTTGTTTGTTGCAAAGGTCTTTGTAAATATTGGACGTTGATCCACGAGTGGCCTTGACAGTAAGGTCTGTTGGTTTGCTTTTGAATGAGAGCTTTTTAAGGCCAGGGTCAATACGTATGATTATACTTTTTTACATATTCAAAATAAGATGCACGTTGTAATTTCAGAGTCCTTAGAAGGGAGTGGTTCTGTGTATGTATGTAGACGTGTGTGTGTGTGTGTGTGTGTGTGTGTGTGTGTGTGTGTATATATATAATGCACAAATGTAGGAAATACCATTTAAAAGATTATAGTAATTATCCCTGCCACCTTTTCGTAGTTAAGCTATCAATCAATGTGAAGTTTAAAATACTGTAAAGGGAGGTTTTACGCATCTTAGCTGCATACAGACATTGGCTTTTTACAGGCATTTCTTCTATTTTCAGGTTGTCTCGGTCGCTCGAGTGGCAATCTGCATTTGCGTGTGGGGGGAGGGGGTAGCTGGGAGTGGGGGCATTAAGCAAGCACTTTGGTTCACTGCTCAGGCAGTAGCTTGGTCATCTCAGCACTGTTCACGAAATGACTGTTACCAACTTGACAGAGGACACAAGTATATATTTGTATTGCTAAAATCATAGGCCTGTATTTTATAATGAGGAAGACTATACAAAATTTAAAAAAAACAAAAAACTAGATATTTATGAATATCAACCGGTGCTGTTATCCATGTATTTGCAATGTAAACGGGACGTGAGCCTACAGATGCCATAGCCAATACCTCTGGGATACCTGTCAAGTATATATATATATATATATATTTTAAGGAAAATGTTTAAAATGTTTCAGAATGTTTTATGCTGTGTCTCAGTGTGATAAATCGGCTTTTTTTCCCTTTTTCATTTTGCTGCTTAATGCACTATTACTTGAAATTGATGTTTGACAGCAACAGAAGGTTATTTCAGATGCAAGGTTTATACTAATCTCACTCTAGTGCTGAATAAAATTTACAAATGCCTTTCAGTCTGGTATAGATTTTTGCTGTTTTTCCCCCTTTTTTAAATTCTACTGTATTTCTTAGTTGTAATATTACACTTCTGCTATATGTAATCCCAGCACACTTGAACCAGACAATCGAGGAATCAAAAACCCTAAATACCCAGTACAGGTGTGTTAGGGGCAGCTGGGGAGCAGAAATGTGGACTGTGCAGCAGATTGGGAATCACTGCACTGCACTGCACTTAATTGGGAATCACTGCACTGGGGTACTTAATAGAGAACCAACTAGTGTATATTCATAATGCATTTATACCTCTTTATTGCCTGATTATAACTTAGATGGAGGTAGTCTGCCCCCCCCCCCCCCCCCCCACCTCCTTTCCCTCAATTTGTAGCCAATAGGGACAGCCGAACAAAAACATGACCCCGTGTGGCGGCTGAGTTTGCCCGTGGATCCCTTTGCATCCACACATCGTATGATCCTAACTCTGGCTTGCTGGAGATATATAGTATAGAATCTCATTGCGTGTTGCACGATAACTCTGGACCAAAAATAGGTGCCTCTAGAGAAGCTGTTCTGGGTGAGAATACAAGTGATTTAGACTGTCATCAAATTCCACATAATAAACAGCCTTTTTTTAACATTATAAACTGTGTTCATAGACGGAGAACAATGTGAGCAACCCGGATCCTCAGGTTTGGCAGTTACATTTTTACATGCCGCATTTGCATTCATGCCGTTTGTCATTCAGTCCCGGTAGTGTGTGTGTTTGCATGTATTTATAAAGTCCCAGGATATATTAATTAGGAAAGTTTTTAGCTTTTCTTCCTGGCAATATCTTAAGTCAGAGTTTTCTTTCAACCTGTGGCTAGACAAAAATGTATATATGTTTTTATCACGTTATTTTCATGTCTCCTGGCAACCTCATTTTTACTACAGGTCCTAATTTAAAATGCATTCAGTCTCGTTTCTAGTTGTGCTTTAATGATCCGAGCTAATGACTGTCTAAGGTTAATGCTTTATTTAACAATTGTGGCAATGCCACCCACTGAGGTCCAAGTTTGGCCACCTGCTGACCCTGGTACGCTGCCATGTATGTGTCTCTGAGGAATGTGCAATAGAGATGTTTGCGGAGATAAATATATTCATCTGCTGGGATGTCACCCCTGCCGAATCGTCACGAACGGATGGCATCCCAAGCGGTTCTGTTCATGGGTCACGTTACTTCCTGATGCTCAAGAAAATGATGGACGGGAATGGAGGTGAGCATCGAAATACCTACCAGGATGGATATCTGTACTGGGTTAGTGTCCACACTAAATCATAGTCATGACTCCTGTTGACCTTCCAGCTCTTCTCCATCCCTTCCATGCCAACACAGTGTTGGATCAATGCCCGTTTCCTGCAGTAGATCACATTGAACCTGCTTACCTAACTGAACTTGTATATTTGACCCAACCAGAAGTGATGGGCAATAGCTAGTCGGTTGCTTTGCTTTTTTCTTCCTCTTTTTGCGCACTTGTGCGGTATGTTTGCTTATATATAAAGTGCTCCAGGCTACTATTGGGAAAGGTAGCTCTATGAAATGAATATGGAGAAGGTTCCAGTTCAAGGTGCATCAAACGGTTCACCGCCCAGCCTGGCCCTAAATGTGAACCAGACCGTAGCGTGGCGAGGGTGGAGCCGGGGGGGTTGCGGGATATCAAAGGCAGTGGCCCTTGCCTGCTTGTCGCATTGGCCTCGGATGCCGGACGCTCCTGTCAGAGTAAATCACGGTGGCGCATCTTTCGATCTTTCCACCCACATCTCATTCCTACGCTCTTCACACAAGGACATTTCAAACTGGAAATAGACTGACCGCTTCCCTATGTGGGACCCCATCATACTCTCCTTCATATGCTCTTCTGCCCCAGATGCAAGGCTGAGAAACCCCCACCCCCCATAAAAGAAAAGCCAGTCCCAGTCCATCTCGGTGTGCTGCTGCCCTCAGTCTCGGCCGCAGCCGTTGATGACAGCCTTCTTTAAAACCCCAGTCTGCCCACTCGACCCCATGTAGCTGGGCTGATATGAACAAAGCATCTACTGGTGCTTGCAGGGGTGGCCGTTTCTCATCTTCGACAATTTGCCGACGACAAGAACGTTCCTCAAAAATCTTTTCAAGGTTCAATCCACATTCCCGGTGGAGGCTGGGCAGTGAAAGTCCGCGAGTGAGAGGAGTCTCATTGAAGCGTTTACGTTTCCAGCAAATCGTGAGGATCCGGGCCAACAAGGCCGCCTTGATGCGTTGAGCCATTTGGGTCATGTGAGGGGTCATCGAGGGTCTTGGCCCAAGAGGAGAGCGGGGGGGAGGCAGTGCAGACGTGAAAGCGCACGGCTCAGCCCCTGGAGCTCACCAGCATGACACCACAGAGGTCAGGCCGTGGCCCCCGTCCTTTCAAGTACTTGACAGGTACTTGACCCTGTTTGTTCAGCTGTGCTCCCTCCACTCCACTCACCTACCCCAACCCCTCCCCCCACCACCCCCACCCTGTCTGCCCAGCAGTCAAGAGCACGCCCCGGGTCAGCTCCTCCAGATTAGAAGACGCCGAGCGGCCTTTTAATTACGCCTCCTGTGCAGCGAGGAGCGCGCGCTTCTGCGGGCAGACACTTCCTGAAAATGTGCTTCACCACCCATAACGTGGCTAAAAACAGCCATGCCACATCTGCGCCGTGCCGGAGGACGGAGGTCCTACCCGCCGTCGCCGTCCGTGGTGATATGCGCACCGGCGAGGCACGCTGGGTTACCCCACTGCTCTCGTCTTATGTGCCTCACGCCCTGTTTCCTGGGTGAGGCTCGATGGCTCTACAAGCCGTGCTGCACGAGTGATTAGAGGATGGCGGATGGATTATTATGGGTATTATCTTGACCATTGAATTTTATTGTAAATTCTGAGTATATGCATGTGTCTTTGCATCTGAGGCCTACTTTGGTGGCTTTCATTCGTTTGTTTGTTTGCTTAATTATTTTTTATTTATTGCAGGTTAAGGTTTCAGGAAGGGCTCTCCTGAGGTGTCCAAGAAGGTGCCTGACCCGAGTCGGGTCAGTAAAGACACAAGCAGTATAAATTCCTCGTGTAAAAACTGCCGGTTACGTGACTTGTACCTTCCTTTTGAAGAGCGAGTCCTCCGATGTGGACCACATGATTAGATACAGATCAGTAGCGTACGTTTCCCTCACAGGAAGGTGTAATTTTAGCCACAACACAGAGGTACTTTAAAAGAGTTTGGGAATAGACACTTGATGAGGGTTCACTGGTTTGCAAGCTCTCTGCAGCCCCCTCCCCTTACTGTTGTGGTTGGCCTAGCCTGTTAAACATACTGTTTGGATTTTGTGTTCCAGTGTGGATTGTGCTTGTAAGTCATACAAAATTTAGGGTTTTTTTTTTTTTTTTTGGTATAGTTTTTATTTTTTGTATGAGCTTAAGATGTATAGCATCAATCAGTCCTTTGGTGTTGATGTGGCAACCATTGTCCAACTCCCCCCCACCCCACCCCCCAACAGAGGGAAAGCTCTGTGAATATGACTGTAGATGTCTTTGCATTGTTTTAACTGCTGTAAGTGTGTAGGGCTAGATCCCACGCTTATATGGGGAAAACTAACATTTAATTTGGAGTCTCTCTGTATTAGATAAAGTAGGTGACACCTGCTTCATCTGTGGTGGAAATCTTCAAGGTCAGTAGCCAAGTCATGTGCGTTATCTTCATATTGCTTGTTAACGACGTTCTGGTTTCATAGATCACCATTTTCCTGCACCTTTTTATTTATCCATTCCCATAAAATGCCTCAAGACCAGAAGCAGACCGTAGTCTTTTATGCGGAGGAGAGAAAGCGCAGAAATCTGCACGTACAAATGCTGGGAGATGGAGGATTTGAGCCACATTTGGGAGGAAGATTAAAACGGAAAAGGAGACAGAGTAATTATTTCAACGTCTCCGCAAGGCAGGAACTAATGGGAACCTAGTGCGGTGGGTTCAGCTGTTGGAAAAAGTTTAATTGCTGCCAATGCTTTTTGTCAGAAATAATGCTTTGTGACAGTGCAATAAAACACAAGGAAAGGAGCCTAATAGCAGGTGAATTTTACCCAAAAAAGAAGTGGAAAGTGGCATAAATTTGAAAGTAAAAAAATCCAATAAAATACTAGAAATGAGAGAATGCAGGCCCTTGGTCATGGGCCACAAATACTTGTTAAATAATTAAAATGAACTTTAATGAGAACTTATAGTTGTTTTTATTAAAACTTTCATCTCAGAAGTCTTTCAGTATGCATCACCTACTTCAAACATTAACCACATAATTATACCCAATGTACGGGACATAGCTACAACTTAATAAATACTTTACAAAAATAGTGAAGGTTTTTTTGTACATCCAGAAAGGAAGGGAAATATAAGGGGTGATAATAAAAATACAACTGTAGATGATTTGTAAAAACTTGGCGCTAAATAGACAAACTTTACAATGGGAACCTTAATAATATACCCAAAGCGATAGTGGGAAGAGCCAGACCCTCCGGATACAGGAAGGGCCTCTGCCCATGGTTTCTACATCCCTGTAAATAATCCCCTTTCGCAGACGGTCGTCACTAACCATCCCTTTTGAGAAGAACAAAACGAATGGCTTGTGCTTTTATGACAGAGAAGGTGTTGGCTCACTTTCCCTTGAGACGCGTCTCGCTTCCGTCAGTGCCGGCTGACGCCGAGACCCCCGCACTGTCCTTGGTTTCTGTTCAGTAGCTGCGTTGTCCGTCTTCCTTTTTAGGCCCTTCTGAGCATGCCAAGCAAGAAAGCTGCTTTTCTAAGAAGTCCACCAGAAGAATTTTTAATATCCTTCACTTTGGTGCAACCGAAATGTTTTGCATCTATCTGCTAACGACTCCCATCGAATCCCCTTGACTGAAATATCAGACATGACATTTACAAAAAAAAGAAAAATACTTGGATTACAGCTTTAAATAGCTTCGAATGCTATACGATTTTACATGAAGGACCCAATTGCTATCCGTGTTGCCGTTGCCATGGCGAACAGAATGGGCCCCTTGCTCTCGAGAAGAATTTAAATGAGATGGGAGGAGATAAAGGGGTCCGTTGGGCCTGTGTCACAGTACCCTGCTCCTGGCCACGCCGGGTAAGCGTGTGGGGCCCACCCAACTCAATGGAAGTTCTTGCAATGGCCGGGCTGCACCCTCTGCAAGCTCTGAAGATCTCTTTTCTTTTCTTTGAGTCTTTCAACCTCTGTCATGCCCACCCGCTGACCCTTTTGTGCTGCTTTCCCGTTGGATTCAGAACTCCCTGGCCTCCTCGAACTGCCTGTAGTAGTCTTCATCCAGTGGGTTGTCGTCACACCGTTGGCCATTGTTGGGTGGTCGGGCTTGGTTATAGCGACTCCAGTCGCCCTTGCAGATGATCCAGGGCAGGATGTCGACCTTGTAGTGCAGGTCGGCGGAGAACTCCGTGCTGATGAGGTTGGGAGTGCCGGCACCCTTACCGCGTGTGATGAGCTTCATTGTGTCATCATAGCAGCAGTGCTGTGCAGCCAGCGTGGTGGACTCCAGGGTGAGCGAGGACCGAATGCAGTAGCGTGCCGTCGGCTTGTAGATCTCCAGCTTCTCCTTGGGACTGCTGGCATCTTTCCAGCGGAAGTCCTTCCTGGTGGTAGCGTCGTGGATGCTGGCCGTGCCATAGGCCACCTCGGTCGGGTAGGAGCACGGGCAGCTGGGCAGGTCGTTGGCCACCTTCAGCATGTACTTCTTCAGGAATTCACTCTTGCAGTTCATCCATCTCTCGCAGCTGTCCGTGTCTGGAAGGCATTGGGTCGCAGTTAAAGACGGGGCCCTCTCAGGCTGTAGTGTAAGTGCAACAATAAGGGGTGCTTTATCTGAGGGGTGAAGGGTTGTCCCCCCTCCACCCTCCCATGGTGGACTGTGATTGGGAACAGAAGGCTGGAAGACTAGTGGCAACCGCCCCCCCCCCCTGCCTCCCATACCCCGCCCTGCGGCCTTTCATCCACACGCTGGAATGCTAAGAGGGCCCATGGAATTACTCTGTGTTCTGAGCTAGCGCACGATGCTTTCCAAGTCAGCTGTCCGCATGAAAGATGAGACCAGATGATAGGAAGTTCCGGGAGGGGGGGGGGGCAAAAGCCAAGTGTGGGTGCCTTACCGACACCGAAGAGCTCCGTGGCGTTGAACTCGTCGGTCCCAGCCAGCAGACTAACTTCCGTGGCGGCTGTCTTGAAGGCGTCCTCGATCCCTGCGACAGCAAAGACAGCCTCGAAGATGTCCAGGGATACAGTAACATTCATTCACCTCACCTATGCCTCATTTGTGTTGCTCTAGTCCTTTCCACAACCTGATGGCCTCTTGCCAAATCTGCCTTCTTGATTTTACCCTTTTTTGTTAAATCCCATCTGCTCAAAGTAGTGATAATACTATGGGGAGAAGGGGCTACCATTGCAGGAATAATTACAGTTGAGCACAATAATTAGTTGGGCCTGAATTGTTCCAGTAAAATTTGTATCAATAAAAATGTAGAAAGTCACTTTGAATAAAAGCATCCAAATAAGCAATAAAATAAATATGTTAGCCCTCATCTCAGTCACAGGCAGGTGCATCTGGGTAATGAGGCCCTAGCAGTGAGTGGGGTTTCCTTAGCAGTGAGTGGGGTTTCCTAGGCGGTGAGTGGGGTTTCCTAGGCGGTGAGTGGGGTTTCCTAGGCGGTAAGTGGGGTTTCCTTAGCAGTGAGTGGGGTTTCCTAGGCGGTAAGTGGGGTTTCCTAGGCGGTGAGTGGGGTATCCTTAGCGGTGAGTGGGGTTTCCTAGGCGGCGAGTGGGGTTTCCCTCCCATAACCAACCTGGGCAGCTTGGCGCATCACAGGTGCGGGACTCCGTAGCCGTGCAGGCGTAACCACACGACCTGGTGCGCTTCTGGTTCCCATTCCCACAGGTGACGCTGCACAGCGACCAGGCGCTCCAGTCTCCCTCCCCATCCATGTAATCTGGGCCGGAGAGAGCCGGGGGAAGGGGGAGGGGGTGGATGAGCGGAGAGTCTGCAGGATGCCAACAATTCCGTGGCCGTGCTGATTGGCTCCACATGTTGCTGGTACCTGGAGCCCAGGCCAGCTGCCAACTAGCGAAGTCATTAGCGTGCCTCTCTAAATGGCTTTCACACATGTGAGACAGTGCGGGGGTCTGGCCTGGACAACTCCTCTGGCTCTGACCCTGGAGCCGGCGTGAACACACACATACACACACACACACCACACACACACAGATTCTGCCCACGCTGCTGTCAAGTTTCTCTTGGGAAACGGGTGACAATTTGCCTGCGCTTGCTCCCGGCCGGAGAGCCGTAACGCAGCCAAGGTCGAGTCCCATATTCTAATGTGCCCCCCCTCACCCAGGTCTAGGGCAGCTGCAAGTATTTAGCCATAAACCTGCGGTGGGAGAGGGCCAGCTGTTACAGCCGGCTCCAATCCTGCTAAACCAGTGAACATTTCCTCGTAAAGGAGCCACTGGGTGCTTGTGCAAGACACACCGCCGGGGAGCGAACGGAGGGCGCCGTAAACCACCGAGGGACACGCCCACCAGCGCCGGTACCCTGGGTCAGCCTGAAGGGTGACGATAGTGGGGATTCGGGGCAAGGCGAGTTTATAGAAGTGATTATAGGCAGTGGAAGGTAGTTATATCAAGTGCTGCAGGAGCTGCCTGGATGGGCTGTGTTTGCTTCACCGTTGCTGTCGTTTTGCTTATAATCTTTAACGCTACGCCTTGAAAAATCCTGGCAAGCTTGGGGATGTGGCGGGGTTAATGACAGCATGCTACTTCAGAAGGCTACTGGCTCGCAAATGTATTTTAACATTCCCGTCAGTGATCAGGCAATTACACGTTAATCACGGCTGTGTGTATATGTAAGTCCCTTAACGCTGGCTGCAGCGTGTCGGTAGCGTTGGAGGTCACGGGCCAAGTCTTGCCCCACATCTGCCCCAGATAGTCATCATTACCCTGGGGCTGAGGGCCAGATATCCAGCACTGATTCGCCAGCTAATGACAAATTACAGCCTGAGCACTGAGAGTAAATCCAGGAAATGAGCAGAAGAGGAAACGAGGTGCCCCGTATGAGGCTCCCTGTAACTGTGCTGCGCTGGCTCAGGCTCAAGAGCCTCGATAACCCCCAAGCCGTGTTCAGTTATGGACCCGCATCGACCGTGTCCAGGCACCCTGCTAACCGCAGTCAGAATGAGTAATGCACAATCAGGCCTTGATAAGGCGTCATTGCTGAGCCTGAAGTTGGCTTTAATCACTGCCGCATTGTGCCTCGATAACCGGGGTTGGTGGGGCACGGTCCGGGGGCCCTCGAGTTGGGATCACATCCCATATGCAGGGCCGGTAAACAGGGACGGAACACTTCCCACATCAGCCGTTTTGTTGGCACGTCAGGGCATCAAAAGGATGAGTACTACACAAAGCTGGCATTCATTTACAAAACCCACATTTATATAGTCATGTAGCCCAGTTCTCCCACCCTGGTGCGCTGGGAACGATGGACAGGTGCCAGGCATCCCACTGCTAAGCTGTGTGACGGGGCGCAAGCTCTGAGGTAAAGAGAAACACCTGCATAGCAACCACAGCTACATAAACCTTAGATACGATACAGCTCATTTCAGAATGTTGGCATGCTGTCTAGTCGTTTTTTGCACCGTTTTTATGAGCATATTGTCTAGTTTTTGCACCATCTGTACTGTTTTGCCCTGTCCCGCATTGCTTTTTGCAATAGTCCTTCGACTGTCGTAATCGGACGCGCTTTAACAAGCAGGCTTTCTGATGCACCTGTTGCATATGACCAGCACAGATGCTGTATCTTTTGCTGAATGTTTACTGGTGCTGAAATGGACGCTCACCATACTCCGCGTGCGCCTTGCCAGCCCCGCCGCGGCGCTCCCAGTCCCTCAGCGGCTTCAGGAAGTTGCTGTCATCAGTATCGCCGTTGTATGGGTAGTCCTGCTCTCCGGGTCTGTGGCCGGGGGCCGAGGCTGAGTGCTGCCACCAGTTCCTCCAGTTGGGTGTGGCCCAGCCCGCTCTGCTCTCCTTGCGAAGATCCTTCTCCGGCTCTGGGACCTCCAGCCCATCCACCACCTCGATCGTCACCTGGGGACCAGCGGTGGGCCATTGAGTGAATCTCCCAGCCGGCAATCAAAATCCCTGCATTCTAGTGATGCTCTTTTAAATCTCTGTGAAATGTCAATTAGGTGATTGCTGGAGACCAGAAGACTCTGATTTATGCTGTCAAGATCCCGCATGACATCATGAACAACCAAGCTGTGCTTGATATTCAGGGTTGGGTCAGACCAAGCCAAAGACACCAGAAGCGTGTCTCTGAGATTACTGCTCTGGCTCAGAGATCGGCCCAGTCACTAGCCACCTCCTTCACGTTAACCCTGAGCTTCTCAAACTCCACTGCTCCCAGCCCCACATCAAAGATACCCTGTCGTCTGGCAAATCTATAGTTATAAGCCTCAACTTGAAACACTGATATTTATCATCTTTTCTCACGTCTCAGATACAATTCCGTTTTAATCCCGTCAGAAACGGAGCCGTGATTCATAGACGGAAGGGAATCTCAACGGGGAAGGAGCTGGAAAACTTTAAAAATGGCGGGGCCGCGATTCCAGAGTGACGGGTGTTCTTATTTCTCGTCCCATAATGCACTGCCACAGGTCACATGTCACAAAGACCTTCCATCCAGCGGCTGCTGCTGAAAGACGGCTGGCTTTTTAGCTGCCTTTCAACGGCCTCCAGTGGGAATTGTTAGGAGACCACAAATGACATTGGCAGTGCGTAGATGCTGTCAAGACTGGTTAGCTTCGAATTTGTATTAAACCGCAATGTACTCAGCAGTTTACATATATATTTATCATATATCAGGCAAAAAGGCCAGACCACTTTTCAAAGTATCAGCCAAGACTTCCTAGCATATAATCCTTCCTTTAATACTGTTTATTTTATCTCTCTAATAATCCGAGATGAATGTTTTTGTTTTTACATCTCTTCAGTCCGACCCCTTTCCCAAGCTTGGTTTGGATCCAAAGCTAAACTTGCACAGGTCAGTAACTGGATGGGAGCTGCCGTCAGACCGGTGTTTACGTTGCATTTCCTATCCGTGCTTTGTGCATCAAACGCACTTATTATCCGAAAACCCCCATGGTTCATTTATTCATGGGAGGCGGTGGGAGGGGTGGGGGGGCCTGGTCCCTTTCATTCGAGTGCTTCCTGTCTATGTGTGCGTGTTTTTATGTGTGTCTCTAAAAGCCGGCCCGCTGAAAAGGGTTAGCGGTGCGCAACAGGTCGTTGTGCCTCTTCCTGTTTGAGGAGCATCTGGTCTGTGTGCTCGGCTGGCCACCTCTTTCATTCACACACACACACACACACACACACAGAGATTTATAATTATATCTTTGTGGGGACTCTCCATTCATTTCCACGAGGAAAACTCTAATCCCACCTGAAACATGATCCCCACAACACATATTACAAATGTCATACATTGGACGATTAAATAAGTAACTGGAGCAACAATTAAATAGAGTTCTGCAATGTCCACAATTTTGGCCAGTAGTGTAGGCAGTAGTACAGCACAGACAAGTACAAATAAATATAGAAACATGGATAGACATAGAAATACATAATATACAATGAAATATGGTGTGGTACCATACAATGCCGATCAATTAAACAATAATATTCTTCCACCGCTAATAGTATCAGCCCTTCTGCATCCATTTCTGGGTCTGGCCTACCTGAATGTTGGGGTTCTGTCCATTGATGTCTGTGTTGGACAGGTCAGGGAAATTGTGGAGGTCAAAGAGGAATGCTCCGGGTCCATCCCTTTGCAAAGTGCTGCCTGAGCCATGGTGCTGGGCTTGTTGGCGGGCAGACGGAGCGGAGCGGCGCTCTCCATGGGCCAGCCAGGTCAAGGAGCTGCTCTCGTCATGGTTTCTGCTCTGGAAGAACAGACCAAATCCGGTCAAACACTTTTCAGGTCATGCAGCGACCGTAAAATCCCGTGATGGGGATCTGTCTTGTTTTCGGCAGCCGTCAGGAGAAATTAAGTTCCTCAGGGGTGGGGAGGCGACAGAAAAACCTTGAATCTTGCCCCCACTATCTAATACTTTCAGCCTGTCAGCAATCAGTATCCTAAGAAAAAAAAAAAGTAACGAACTGTGATGCAATATCTGGCCTCCTTAAAATCTTCAACATCATTGGTGGAGATGAATCCTGATGACCCTTCTCCCCGGGCCACAAAGCAAGGGCTCAGAAGGTGGCAAGATTCCAAGGACAATGGATTGTGGGTCATCAAGGAGTCCTAAAACGCAAAGCCTGATGGGCTGGGCGAGCCGGGCTGGGGGGGGCTATCAGTGCTTTTCTGTCACCATGCCCCCCCACCTGTTGACTCGAGTGCCTCCAAAAGTCTGAGATAAGGAGCATGACGCCTGTTTAATTATATCTTAAAAGGCTCTCCGTGCTGGTCGTTTACACCTTAAGGATGGGCCGTGACGAGCAGCTGTGCTCCATTAAAGGCTTTCCGTCTGATATCCTGTTTGTCGGAGAGGCTGAAGATGTTTAATGACAATTGGCGGAGTGTTGACGTGACATCCTCGGCTGACAGTGATATACGGTGCAGTCTGTGTGGGGGCCACAGAGGATTCCCCCCAAGGCCCCCTAAGTCATGTGTTCCCCATCACACACATGCACAGAAGGAGCAATTACTTCCAACTGTACAGACAGCTTTAAGCACCCAGTAATCTTCTATACTTGTATGGTAGACAATGAGATCAAAGGGGAGTCATCAATCTTGTTATTTTTCCTCTGTCTGTCTGGTGTGTTTTTCTGACTGCAATGAGGGATCGGGAGTGTGGCAGCCCGATATGTCAACTGTGTGGTGGCCCCACCCACGCAGTAAAGCGGCCTGGCCTAGGGGGGGCGCTATTCTGCAATGAGATTGTATGTTTGTGTCCGGTTGCATATGCATGTGTGCGAGTCATCACGTGTCTGTGTGACCTGCATGCACGCACAGGACATGTGGGCCATACATGTGGAAACCTGTCTCCCATATGTGCTAGAATTATGACGTACATCCGGAGTTGCTCAGTGCCGTTACAGCGGGGCGTTATTTTGATTTACATCTGCTATCAAAATCCCATCCCCTATTTTACACATAAACCGTACGGCAAAGACAGCCATCTCACTACATCTATAAACAACCAGGCTGCGTGTTTGTATGTATTTATATATTCACATAATACAAAAATACATTCCTTTGAAAGGTTCGCCTAACCAGCTGGAGACCAGACGAGGCTCCCTCTTAAGATAGCCAATTAGACAGAGCACATCAAAGCTCATAAACAAAGTCATAAAATGTTAAAGGGTGTGTGTGGGGGGGGGGGGGGGACCGATTTAGCTATGAAAGAAATTGAAAGATTAGATGATGTAATCCTCTTGGACCCGAGACCTGTGACCACAGAGAGCCCCTATTTAATCGCTGCGGATGGAGAGACAGGAAGTGGTGGACCGAGGCATGGAATGTCTCCTAACATCCTTCCCATCTTTCACCAGATAGGGTTCATACTCCGATAACCCCCCTATAATCAAAGTACATGCTTGCTGAGCCCCTCCACCCCTCCCCAGAAGCCTTTGGGCCCTGTAATTAAATCCCGGCAAAGCACACCCCCTCCACGCTCGCGCAAAAAGCTACCAAGGAGGAGGAAATTATCATCATCCGCAACTGAAATGTTTTCAATGTAAACAAAACTAAAACTAACATTTCTTGCTTGTACATTTATTTATAAGGAAAGTTTGTGTCGATGTTTGAAAAGAAGGGAAAGTGGAATGACGTGGCTTTTGTGTGGACGGGCTAGTGTGGCCTGGGAGATAGGGTTTCCAGTGCGCGCTAACCGATACCGCAAGCGCACAGTGCTTCACCACAATGGGATTACTGAGCCTCAAAGGCGCAGCTCTGCACTGTGAAAGAGGCCCGGTCACTTGCCAGCGTGGTGTCACGGTCAGGCTGCTGCGATACCCCCTTGGATGCCTCTGGATGCTTTTCCCTGTTTTTTTTCCCACATTGACCGAGGGGGAGCTATCACGATACAGGTCCTTTATCCTAACCCCCCTCCCGGGCTTTAAATTACCTTTGGGTTCAAGGATGCAACCATAGCCTTCCTGGGGGTTGTTTGATCTTTTCATGCTCAGTTTGAACTCATCGTTCACACTCTTTGTCTCTTGGATAAATATTAAGGCGAGTGGTCAGCTTTTAAGGTCGGTGCAGTGACAGCTTCCATAAACATCTAAATGTACTTACATCTGTTTCATCGTTTCCAGCTGGTAGGAGCCCTGCCACATGTGCCCCCTCCCTCCATGCCCATCTTCTCCGTCCGCCTACCCCCTTCCTAAATTCCATGAAAAGCCACCCTCTCCCGTCAGATCTGAGAATCGTAAACCGTGCTTCAACAAACCTATAAAAATGACCCTTTTTGACTGGATACCATTTCTATGGAAGGCTGCAGGTCCTTGAAAGCCAGGTCTCCAGGAATACATCTCAGTTGCCTGGGTTGATACTCTTCAGTCAGGTTTCCTCACTCCTGTGTTCCGTGGCCCCAGAGTCACTCCTGAGACAATTTCTCCGGAACCTTGAATTTATCGCTGCAGCAATATGACCCATCGGCACAGGTCTTCAAAGTGAGCCGATCAGGTAATATGGAGCCCTGGTAAAAGTCTCTACCCAAGTCAACCGTAAAAAAAAATCTGACTTTTAAGACTTTAATGTACTGCTGAGTTTTAACCATGTGGCGACTACTGTATCACACATTGACGCAGGTAAAAAACGGGACATTTGAGACCGGTTACAACTTTCGGTAACAAAAATCCAAAGTGTTTTCTATATTTTACTGGCAGTTTGAAAAAAAAAACTGGGGAGGGGTGGGAAAGGTGACACAGCTGGGGGTGCAAAGCAATTTCACTTAACTCTTTTGTTATTGCACTTTTCTTTCCCATGTAAATGCACCGTCTTTGGGCAAAAGACCCACCCCAGGGAATCCCGTCCATTATGCAAATAGGTACAGCAGGCGGGCACAATTAATCCTCCAATGAAATGTCAGCTTTCATAGCTTCAACTGTAGTGCTGACAGGAAAAGGCTAATAATTGGATTACTTTCCATCTTTTGCTTCCTCACTTGCTCCTCGGCAGCTATGACATTTACAAAGAGACAAAAGTCAAGCTTAAGAGAATTATGTTTAAATGCCTGTATAAATTCGATGTAATGCGTCTGACTCTCAGTTAGAACAGGCAGCTGCGTCGGGGGGTTGGGGGCAGTTGTTAAATGATTAAAGCCATTTTTACAGTTGGCCGTCACCTGATTATGCCACTGCGATCTCCCTCACTGCCTTTAAACGGGAAGATCAAAGGAGATGCGACTGTCTTCCGTTCATCATGTACCACTGGGCATCCCAGGAAGTTAGTTCTAAAAACATGAATGGAAGCCCCCCCCCCCCCCCCCAACTCCATTCCACCCCCTTCACTCGCTCACTTCCCTTTTTACAGGGGTTGATTAAAGGAGCATGACTTTCGGATGGGAGGGGGGGCTCAGGAAATAAATGCTGATGATATTGTGCCTCGCGCTTTTGAATCTGACATTCCGGTGGAAAGGCAGCCTTCTGCTTTCATCTCCCTCGCACCCCCAAACTTAATTTGTTACCAAAAAACAAAAACCAACGTTACGGTTCTCTGCATTTCTCAGCCACAGGTCTGGTTTCTATCAGATTCCACACTAACATCAAGGAAAATCAGCTGCTGACCAACAGCTGAAGGCTCCTAGCCTGTTTTCTTTAAAAACCCTTTTGTTGCTCAGTTATAATTTACTCATTGCCCTTGTTTTAGAAACGCTGTACTATGCAATAGGGGGAAAAAAAGCCTTCAATGCAAAGTTGAGTTGCCCATGTTAAATGTCTTCTGTGCTTATTGCGTGTAACCCAGTTATCGTGTGATAGCGTGTGTTGATACCGTCCCCGACTCCTATAAAACACCACGTCTGCTTGTTGCCACCGGAGACAAGCTGGCACACTGACACAGGAATGTCCAGCGGGGCACAGCAGGTTGCCCTCTTGGGTTGCCCGTCTAACTGGAGTTGGTGTGGCTTTGACCCTCATGTAAACTACTCTTCACACACCAGGCAGCCCGCAGTTCCCCTCTGGCACAGAACAGAAACAGGGACCCGGAGAAGATCTATTGGTCTCTGGGTGTTTATTGGGATCTCAGTCTGAGAAGGTGAAAGTGACCATCTCTTGTCACTTAAAAAAGAAGCTCCATACTAAATCAGAGCTATTCCGCAGATTAGCCTTTAGGGTTACTAATTGAGATCCTGGTTCAACTCCTGTCTGGCCTGTTTGTTGGTTTGACATCCTCTTGGGCCCCACACACCAAGGATCACCTTAAAGGCTCATTGGACTGCCAACACTGTCCAGAGAAATGTCTCAGCGCACACTGTGCAGCAACCCACGGCCATGCTTACAAGTGCCACATGAGAGGCAAAGAGCTGAAACGTGTGTTCATCATTTAGTTAATCCCCCCCCCCCCCAAAAAAAAAAAAACTGCGTATAACTCGAATGTTAATCAACGCCACATGGAGTAGGATCGGAAGATCTCTCCACTGCGGAATATCACAGAATATTTACACTCGCGTCCCATGACACATAATGGCACCTCATGGAAGACAAATGCTTCCACTAAAACCCCAAACGTGGAATGAAAAAAATAATCTGGGAGGCAGCAGCCAAGCAAAAAAAAAATGAGTTATGCTTAGCAAAATGAAGCAGTAAATAGTCCCTGTAATTGGCATATACAGATGTATCATCTGGGTTTCTGAAAAGAGACAGAACTGCCCGATTGACACAAACAGGAAGTGATTCTGCACCCGTGCATTGTCTGTTCGGCACGCAACATTCAGCGTTATATGAAAACAACCCATTATTGCGCATAAACTGTCATCTATCACTGCATGGCTTGTCACCAGCTGCCAGTGACTCTTTAAAGTCTGACTAAAAATACTTGAAAAGGTGGTCAGAAGGGTTTTTTAACAAGCTGGCGAGACCCTGTCGATTCCCAAGGCCCCCCTCTCTCGGGCTCTGGATGGGGGGGCTCCCAGAGCTGTCACGCTGCTGTTGTGGGCACAACGGCATGGCTGTTTTTAGCGTGGCTGTCTGTCTGAGGCCACCGCAGCCAGCTCCACGTCCTCTCTCTCTGGCCTCCAGTGTGTGCCGGGACCAGCTGCGGCTCCGAGGGCCTGTAATTTCAGAACTAGGCGGCCGGAGGATATCAGTTTTTAGGGCAGCTGTTACCGGCCCATCGCTTCTGCGTGTAGCCGGGCGGGTCCCAGGCAGAGCAAGGCGGCGTCATGGTTCTGCCCAAATGATGGGGTCCGTCCAAGCCCACGTCTCTCCACGGTACCGGGATAAACTGATTTATCACTCCAAGCGTGAAGCAAAACCGGCCCAGCATTCCAGCTTGGCACATATAGGCCAAATTGAATCTATTTTATATTTTCCGCAGACGTAAAATGAAATGAATCTGAATTATTATGAAAAGGATGCCTCGGTGCCACACCTGAGAGAATTACGCCTATTACCTCCTGCCCATATCCACATGGGAACAGATCAGATCACTCTGGGTGCTGTGAATGAATTGGGTGGGAGGTGGAGTGGTGACAGATGTGTGTTTGCGTATATGGGGGGGGGAGGGGAAATTTGGGGACATCTTTTGGGGGGGGGGAGGGAACATTTCTCATGAGGAAATTTTCAGTAAGTCAGGAAGCATATCTGCTTGTTTACCGATACTACTATTTGATCTGGTGTATTTGGTGGTCAGTGTGCATGTTTGGCAGATAAGTGGAAAATTCTTACAGCCATTGCATGGATTTTGGACCTGTGGTGTTGTGCACTCTCCCAAAACCCCCTCGCCTTGCTACAAACGCTCAACACAACATCAACCTATACCCCAGGGCAGGGGCGTTGCTAGAGATTTTGGGCCCCATGAAAGCATATCATATTAGGCCCCCCAGTCCAAACCAATCCAGTTATTTTCCTAATATTTTAGGGCCCCTGTCACTCAGGGGCCCTTGGAATCGTCCTAGCTTTCCTCCCCCTTACGGCGCCCCTGCCCCAGGGCCAGAGGTAACTTAAGAGTCCTAGTGACAGTACTGAATCCTGAACAGATAAGGGTGACTTGGTGATGACAGGATCAAGAAGTGGAACAATGGCTCTGCTGATCTCTCTCCCCCCCCCCACACACACATACAGTATTAACATTTATATGAGAGAACTATTCCCACACAGACACACACACACTCTACCATTCAGCTCCCTTCAAAAAATAACCAGTTCACACTAAATAATTTAATTGAATGACTGGTGAAGTAATTCTATAATACTAATTTACTATGCAGGATTAGAGCATCAGTTCAGTTGTTGGTGAATTTAGTTTTAACAAAACACCACCCAAATTTTAAGTAGAGCCAGTGCCTCACAACAGGTGCCCAACTGATGAGAACAAGACTGCCTCCTGCATTATCCCGAAGAGGTTGTCTTTGACATATGGTCATTTGAATTTTCAAGATAATTTCATTTATTGTCATTGCCTAATCACACCTTACGCCCCAAGTGAGCTAGGTAACAACAGCGATAGTTTCACTAAGTTTATATAGTATTAGAAACAGTAATAATAGCGCCCCTTGCGGCAGCCTTGAGATCGGCGCTATCCAAATGTACACGCACCTACCGCTTATTGATGTACTTGGATGGCTCCATATTATCATCTTTACGGGAAGGATTTTAATTCCTGCGCCCCAAGGATACGAAATTCCGTGCGCACACGCCCGTGCTCCTTCGTAGAGTACAGTACCTTTTTTTATCGAGCTCTGCAGGCAACGTCTCCTGCATATGTTTCCCCTTCATATAGACCGCAATTGAATTTGAGACATTTCCTCCACATCAAGTAATACTCTTAAACTGCCGCTTTGGTACACTGCGGCGTCCCATTTGTTTAATAGCGCATTCTTCGCTAACCTAATGTACTTGGCAGGGAAACGTAATTTTTTGGTTTACCTCGACCTTTTGTTAATAGCCTAATTCGAAAGATCATGAACATCTGCAGAATATTCCACTGCAAATCAGCAGGCTGTTTTTATAGTGACAACATAACAGTAATAGGTGGGTTAGAAATATGAAGAATAACATATATAGGCCTAGCCTACTAAAACCATTCTTGTGACTTCCTTTGTGACGCTTTTCATTGCCAACTGACTTATTCCGGACCATTTTTTACGTCAGATTACATTTTACTTGGAATTCTTCATTTCGTCCTTCTTTGTAGTAAATAAAAATGCAAACTTAACATAATTCAGCCATGTGCAAACACCAGACGCATTCCAACAGAAAAGTGTCCGGAAACATAATAATAATAATAATAATAATAATAAACATAATAATAATAATAATAATAATAATCTGTATTATTAAAAAGTAATACTTTTCTTTATGATTCCCACGTATATATTTTAACCAGCAGACATAATTGATTAATTAAAACCAAGTGAAAAGCATCCAAAGAATGGAACAAATATTGTTTTGCAGCACTGTGAAAGTTACTTGACAGACACGCTGTAGAAAGACTGGGAGAGCAGCTTAAACCAAAAACCTACCTCCACAGGCAGCTCATTTTGGTCGTTGCTTGAAGTCGCGTTCCCTTGCTGCAATGGACTGCTCCGTAACACCGTAATATGTAAAGTTAAAAGTAGCAGTCCCAACAGCAGCAATAACTCTGCCGCCAAGCGAACCATCCTTTTCAGACGACCGGTTTTTGGACCCTGCGGTGTAGCAGGGGATGCACCGCCGCCTCCTCCCGCTGCAGAGCCTCCGTTCTCCGGATCCGCCGCGGACGAGGGGCCGCAACACCACTGCGGAGCCACCTCGGGATTCAGAATTACAAATTAAGGGGAAAAAGGGGGAATAAAGTGACAAAAATATTCTTTTTGCACTTTGAAACTCCGAACCCCCTGATCCCTGATTTTGATTGATTGGAAATGAGCTTAATTCAATTAAACATTCGCTCAAGTATTCAATATAATATTGCCTTTTTATTCCACCTATTAGCCTATTTCGTATAATCTAGTTGTGTTAAAAGTTCCAGCATAGTTATTCAGTCCTTTGATATTCCGGCATCTGAAGAAGTTTGAATAAACTGACTGAAAACGAATAGCCTTAACCCAATTGATTAATGTTGATCGTAAAAATGAGATTACTCCGAGGCTCTTGGGAGCCGTTTGCTTTTACATGTAAACCTGCAGAGCAGCGACGACGTTAAAATTATATGTGCAATACACGATGTAATAAGGGGGTTTCAGCACGCAGTTAATTTTGTAGGTGCCGCCGTTCGTGCGAGTCCAGGTGAAGATTCGCATCAGCTCAGACACGCAGATCCCCGGGTCCCCTCTTGTCCACTTTATGTCCTGTGCACATCCTCCTTTGCCTGTCAAAATGCCTTTTCATCAGAATCGTGCCTTAACCGTATGCTTTTCATTTTTGTTGAATTTCAGTCCTTAATGCGGGACTCATTATAATGTTTGCTTGTTCCCCCTCTGCCTATAGATATTCATAAAGTAAAGAAATACACCTCCAGCATTTGTAATCTCCTATGTATCCTGTTAGGCAACTTTATAAAATGCTTGGGAATTTTTAAATCGTTAATTCCGTCCAGTTCTTACAACAGTGATGGTCACATGACGTCCAGATAGTTGTTTCCGAGTAAGATGATTAGGCGTGAAAAGCATCCATCCTGGCGCGGACGACTTGCGAAGTTGTCTTTCCGCCCAACTTTACCTTGCAGTTGCAGGGAGTCCGCGGCCGCGTGTAAGTCAGAGTCTCCTCTCACTCGCACGTTGTTTGTATATGACTCCGTCCTGAAATGTTTTTATACTCCTCTCTGCTGGTTTGCTGTCAGATCCCCCTCCCTCCTATCTTTAACCCTTCACCGGCCTTCAAACAGCCTCTCCAGCCCAGCCAGTAACCCGAGTCGGATTAGCGGAGCGCATTGAAATACTTCTCAATTAAAATGTATTATAACACAAAGCAAACACAACACAGTGCAAGTAAAAAATAATAGTGATAATCGTAATTAGTTTTTCGCACTTGGGTAATTCTCGGAAGTTTTATATTGGCCTTCTTTCTAGTTTCAATAATATTTATTGGCTTGAGGATATATTTGGTTGGCTATACAAATTAGACAAAATGCAAACTGACGGGATGAACTAAATTTGGGTTTTTGTTCACTTGGTAGCAATACCACCTGTTATTTTTCTTTTTTGTATAGACTACTTCATAGAATCTATGGAAGAAGTAAAGAGTAACACAAACACCTTAACGCGGTCCGTGAGGCGTGTTACTTTGAAAAAGGGCTGGTTGATAAGCTCTCCCCTAGGGGCTCCTGCCGCACTGCGCTGCCGGAGCCTAGCCAGAGATGCGCGCATTTTAAAGAGTCGCATCTCCTTTGCATGTGTAGATGTTCGCTGTTGTTCTACAGACGCGCTTTTTCTCGGCACCCCGCCTAAGCAAATGGCTGGCCAAGCCCGATCACCTTTTATGAAAGGTCGTGTTTATTGTGAGCTTCAAAGGGCCACATCCCAGCCTCGTGTTATATACACTGTTGGGATTGACTTCCATTGAAACCACTTCACAGCTCACACTTTAAAACAAATGGCCGTTTCTTTTCGGCTGACAGATTCTCACCTTTGTGAGTATTGTCGAGCGCTTAAAGATTAATGGCGTTTTAAATTGTAGTGTTGCTGATTTTCTCAGCTGACATTTAGCAATAGTTAACCAAAACAAACAAACAAAAAAGACCCAAACGCCCTTGATCCTCAGTATCTCCGAGAATTTCCCTACGTTAGCTCAGTTAAAAGCCAGGTGGAGATACGGCACTTTTACAGATGATTTAAATGGATTGACGCATCGCTAATTGAATTCTGTAGCACATAAACCGGCAGAGGAGTATCGCTTCTGATCAGTGGCTTGGGCGACAGAAGAGCTGCACCCTTGTGGTCGGGTACGTGTCTGGGACTGGAAACCAGTGTCCGCAAGGTATCTTACAGATTCCCCTGCGACCCTTCTTGGAATGGACATTGCTTATAAACCATGATTTCTTTTTTTTATGAATCCAGCGAAGGCTGCTTTCGGTGGGCATGTGTCCAGTAGCGGAGATCTTTCCCTTAACGGGGACACGTGGCTCTTGAGGCCGGAGCAGGGGCGTCGCTGTGCGGAGCCTTTTCGTTCGGTTCCCGAAGGTGCGCTGACAGCTCCGCTCCGCTATTTTCTTGCGGGGGACACTGGCTCGTTGCGTCTCTCCCCGACCACAAATTGATCCTCGTGAAAGGATTCTGGCACGTAGCGTAATTAAAATAAGCTGCTTCGACGGCCAATTATAGCCTCAGAAACTGACGAAAACTTTTTTTCTTTGTTTGTTCGAATTTGCGGGCGGCCGAATCGCGCGTTTCCACTGCCGACACTCACACCAGGGGCGACTCTGGGATTTCTTTAGGTCTTTAGCCAAATTACTAATTACTTTAAATCGTGTCCCCCCCTTTTATAAATCTATAGCGACTCAAACATCAACCAGTTAGAAATACACATACATTGAAACACTCAGGTCAGTGACCGTCCAGCTGGCCTTTGCGGCTGAGCCTTTGCCGCAATCTGTGTATCCATGTGAAGCTGAGCTAGAGGTTATCGCTCTGTTTTACACCGCACACCTGTGCCAAACACGCTAAGCCGCCGCTGTGCCCTCTCCACCTACGAGCAGAAATGTCAAACAGCATCCATAGCTCTAAAAAGACACTTCAAAGCACCTCTGGGGGTTGCCCTTCCTCCTGCCTAACCCCCTGCCCCCATCCCTGCCACATACACACATATGTACCCCCGCCTTCTACCATGGCAGGGACATGCCATTCCAATCAGTGCATGATCCGCACAGGCGTGCAGTTCAAAAGAGCGGGAGGGTGGCTGACCGGATCACATGCGGGGCTCCCCTCGGCCGCCTATCCGCGCAGTCGGGCAGATGTTTCCTGCAGCCGCGAGCCGTCTCTCCTATTATCGACCCCTTTACGGGGATTTGGGGCGGGGGGATGGGAATGTGGCCTGACATCTGTGTAGCAGACCCCCGTGCACCCATTTGACAAAGCCGGGCCCAGTGGATCAGCAGTGGGTCACAAGAATATCAGCCTCATGCGGCTGTAGCAAGATTCGACCAGAAATCAGACAGAACCAGGCCTGCTGGATTATTCATGTGACCCAACTGCCTCACTTTGGTTGTTGTGGACACTCTTGTCGCCACTGTAGTCTGACCCACATGCGACTGTTGATCTGGGGTTGGTGTGGAAGGTTGGGTGTGGGGGGGGGGCTTTTGCTGTTGCTGCAGTCGTCGCGGCTGCTGTTCTGCCTGATAAACAACAGTTTTGTGACCCAGTGGCAGGTTCTGGCTGAGGTGTGTCTTTTAATCTGGCCCGGGGTGCAAAGGTCCACCATCGAGCAGGCAACTGATGTTCCAAGAGGTGGGGGGGGGGGGGGGGGGGGGTTGGGAGTGAAGCAGGGAATGGAGACAGTGAAACAACACGACGTGTTTATTTTCTCTCTTTCCTACTGCCTGTATCACGGGCTGATCAGCATGGAATGTTGGGGGGAATAAATCCACAAATCCTCCACACCGCCCCGTTCAAAGCTGAGAGGAGCTTCAAATCACACCTCGGGGAGCTTTCCTAGACAAAAGCAAAACAGCATCCAGTGCTGACATGGTGACTGTTGCGGAGGCCACTGGCAACGTCAGCCACCCTGGGGGGGTCACAGGGCCCACGTTCCTCCCTTCAGAGGGGCACCCCCATTTGGGCAGGAAGCGGGTCTTGTGATCTCATTAGCCGCTCGCCTTGGTCGGCTGATAGGTGCCGCATCTTGCTGGGAAGTGGCGCGTTGGGTAACAGCTCTCACCCTCGGACGCCTCACCAGGCAGATCAAAGGGCCACTTGGGTTGCACAGCCCCCCCACCCACAGGTGTGATTTATCCAGGGGCATAACTAGAAATTCTGCCCCCCGACAAAATGTCACCTTGGGCCCAGCAACTGGTGTATTGACGATTATTTCTTCTATTAAGGGGCTCTTATAAAATGCTGGACCCCTGAATCTGCTGAGGTATCCAAGCCCCTCTGACGCCCCCCTAGATTCACCCCTTATGGGTGTCCATCAGGGAGACTCCATTGGCTTCCTTGCTGCCACCCTATTGGCCGTTTGCATGACCACGGCGGGCAGGGTGTCGCTTTTCTCCAGCTGTGGACCCTAGCAGAGCTGCTTCTGGGTCCGTCGCGGAGATCCGCTCGGCCCCGTCTTCTGCAAAAGTAAATCCAAAACAAATCTCACCCGTAATGGTCCCTCTCAATTTCAGGGTTTGTCAGACCTACTGAAAGGCAGTAGTTTACGAGTCATTATCATACCAGACCAAATTCGTATCCCTACGGAGACATGCGCTACAGCTGAGTAAATACGACATTGCATAAAATCAGTGCCTGCATGTGTAGTTGGCTCCAGCCTTGTTAAATGCCATTACCAAGGTGTCTGTGTGGTGGAAAATGTACATAAATATAGTGTCTGTTTAAAAAAAATAATAAAAAAATGAAGACTAGGAACAGAACGTGTCAGGCATTGAAGTATTTATTAGCTGCCTAAATTCCTTTCGGTATTAATCTGATGATTATCACCTCCAGCCCATCGCTAATTGCCGGTTTAGGTTAACGTTGACGTCTACAGCACCTAGCCCAGATTCTTCACTCCTGGGGAAGTCAGACGCATGTAAAAGCGTAACAGGCATTTATGACTGAGTGGCAGAGGGGGGGGGGGATTGCCGGAGAGCAAGCTGCGACTTCTGCTCTGTGTTGTGCAAGACGCTTTCAATTTAATTGCGCGTCAGAGAGGCAATTGCTGCCTGTTCTGTTATTTATGGGGGCGGCCGGCGGCCGGCTTGGTGCTGCGGTGAAACGCAAACAGAGGATGTCACAGTTAGGGTGGTGGGATTTTAGGCCACCTACTCTGCTGGTTAGTGACGGCGACTACACTGTCAGCTGCTTTGAGGCGCTATGATGCTAAATAAGGTGACGGGAATTAAATCAAATCACACAGGGCTCATTGAGGAATGGATGTTTTTAACCAACGAGTTTCTTTTTTGTTTTTTTAATCCCGTTGCACGATGAAAAAAAAGGAAGAGAAATAAGTTGATATAATATTTATTTACATAGCAGAAGAATAATGTGATTGTAAGGCATCATGTGCTGTTTTCCTGAGTGTCTCCAAAATGGTCCAAGGCAACATCACCCAAACCTGAACTGAAATTCAGGACCTGCAGGTAGAAATCTGTAAATTGTTTAGCGTGCACCTCAAGTGAGATCAGATGTAATTCTCTGTAATCCGCCTTGACCAGATCCCTATCTGCCGACGGTCCACATTTAAATGCAGTCTCACCCCTCCCACATCCCCCCCACGCACGCACTTTTTCAGCTCAAGTTACGACGCGGTACATGACGGTGGTCTTGATCATAAGGAGAGGAAACCCTCCAATAAAAACAATTATAATTTTTTTAAAAAATCTCTGCTTCAAGGGTTTTGTAATCAGCAATTGGCGGACGGGTCAAGCATTTGATTTGATCCAGGTCAGCTGTGAGGCACGCTGGGCTTTAAACAGGTCTTTCATGCAGTGCTTTGATCTTGCTCACAAACCATTTCTCCCATTCTCTTTGGCCCCCATAGAGCAGATCTGAATGCAGGAATTAAAGAAGAGACATTGAAATAGCTGTAATGTGCTGTGTAAAATGTGCATGTTTTTGTTTCGTGACTTGGGGCATCTGGCCGCGGACGTAAACGCCACAGGAGATGGTGATCCGCCTCTGTCCGTGAGCGTGGGGCTGGCTGGCAGTCACATGGGTCACACAGGGGGGACGTGCCCGCACTGGTTTGCCATCAGCTGTCCAGCTCGTCGATGTACCTGCGACGGGAGAACTTGATGCCCAGGTAGTCGCCTAACTCATCCAGAGCGTGTAGCACCTTGGGGACAGACAGGTATGGTCACTGTGCTGGTACGGGGGAGTTCATGCTAACACAGGCCAACAGGCCTGGGAGGAAGAAATAATAATAATGACTATTAAATGCTCTTTCCGCCGACTCCATCCTGCTCCCCATGACATGACATGACATTCCGCTGAGCCTGGGGTTGAACTGGTGACCCTCTGATCACAGGCTTAGCCCGCTGAGCCACATAAAGGTGTAGAATAACGGCGGTCTCACCTTGTCCAGCATTTCCCGCGTGTGGGAGGAGGAGACGCAGAAGCGGGCGCGTGCCTCTGTGATGGGCGTAGCTGGGAAGCCTACCACCACCACGCCGATCTTGCGCTCCAGCATAGCGCGGGAGAAGGCCCTGCAGACACAGCACCCGCCTCAGCTCAGGGTATCCCCTCATGTTACATCATCACCCCTGTGCTGGGGACTCCCAAACAGTTAACGTCGTACGATAAAACGCACTGAGCGGTGCTGGCGGATCGATCAGTTTAACCATTTCCACGTTTTTCAAATGCGTAGAGAACACGCAAATATGAAGGATCATAAAATATATAGTTTATTTTATGGAAATTAACCAAAACCCACCCCCCCCCCAAAAAAAAACCCCACCGTTCCTCGGTCCATTGGAATACTGCTCATGGACCGGGTTGGGGACCCCTACCCTATGACACTTGCCATTCCCATCTGGTGCTTCTGCCATTTTTTCCCTGATGGACTGTTCCATCTGGCTACAGGGGGATTCTGATACGGGACACTAAGAGGAATAACATCCCCCCCATGTTAAAAAGCCCCACTCTTACATCAAACACTTTGTTTTTAACGCCACAACAGGACGACATCCAAGCATGCCACCTAGTTGGGCCTTGCACCTGTCCGCCCCCCCCAATCAGGCCCAGTTCCATGTCCAGCCCCACGGTTGCCCCCCCACCACAAAATCCATCCCCGATGTGATGACTACAGAGTGCTTGTGGTTAGAAAACCAGGATGGGGGAGAAAGTGGAATGCCTGGTGTTTGTATAGGACATGTCTGATTGGCTAGTGGGGCCCCCCAGCACTATCACAGCTTTCCATGGGAGGCTGGAGGGGGGAGCCCAGGAAACAGGCATCCAAGCCGACAGAGCTGAACACAGCAGAAAAAAACCCAGGAAATTATAGCGCCTCTCACTGGAAAATTTCTTCATTGCAGGCACTGCCTCTGTTTCCCTGATTAAACCGTATATTGAATGCAATAAATCAAAGATAAGGATAGATAATTATCCTTTGCAGATATGGAAGGCGTACCTCCTGACTGGGGGGGGAGGGGTGCAGGCAGCGTGTGTATCTGGCTCTGAGCCGATCGGGCCTCCGTGAACGTTGCTCTCCTGCTCTCCAGAGTATAGCCTTACGCCTGTCTCAGCACTTTCCACACATTCTGCGGTATTTTTAGTTTGGCCAGGGGCGTGTGGTGGGGGGGGGTCGGCGGGCACGCGTCGGCCAAGCGGACCGGACGTTAGCTGGCGTGTCCCAACACCCCGACGGGACCAGGCCAGCTGTGCCCTCAGCTCTCACCGGGGGACGATTCTAGGGTCTTTAAAGGTAGAGGCATAAGGGGGGGCCATGATTCATACAGAGGGGGGCTTATCATTAGCCAATGGTTCGTTTTGAATCATTGAGTGACAGGGGAGAGGGTACTTCTGGGGCCAATCAGATTTCAATGCGGGTCAGTGCCCCTCCGTTGCCCCGCCCCTATATATACCCCTGACCCTCACCTGGTTAGATGCTGTTAATGAAAGGCTGGTACTGCCACCATACCAGTCGATAAGTCGGAACTCAGGTCTTGGCAGTTCCCCCCCGCCCCCCCCACGACAAAGCGATACTGCCATTAGCTATGATCACCCGACTTACCCGACTTTCCCCGGCATGTAGACCAGCAGTGGCACCACGGGGGAGTCGCGAGACCCATAGATGATGAATCCCATCTCCTGCAGCCGGCGCCGGAAGTACCTGGTGTTCTCTCCCAGCTGACGGAGCCTCTCGATACCTGGGGGAGAGGCAGGGCTGTGAGTGGAAAAGTGGGGGGGAGGGCAGAAAGCAAGCAAGCGAGGATCCGCGGTGTAAGCATGTAGCCACGTAGCTAAATAACGAAATTCGCCGGCTACCGATCAGGCACTTAGGTACTTAGCGATATCACTCGCTCGACTGGAAATCCCCTCTCCCCCCCAGATCAGCGTAATATGCCATGGTGGACACCTACACCACTGTAACCGCGAACTGCAACTCGGCGTGGATACGGTGAGCAGCCAGCGACTGGACGAGCAGGTCAGCTGTGTCCAGGTAAGTGGAAAGTGAACAATAAGAGCATAGTTTTTGCTGCCCCCCCCCCCCCAGCCTGAGCCAGACCTGCAGCTCAGATTTCAGCGTCAGTCGCGCTGCAAAGTGGTGACACGCCCAACGAATGCGGCTCCTACTTTTCCTTGCGAATCCATACTGTGAGTGTAAATGCATCAGGCCCTTCAGTTCATATAAAAGGGCTGCAAAAACACTTGTGTATGGCTCATCAAAAAGGCGTGTTTTTTTTTTTTTTTTTTTTTAATTTACCCCCAGCAAAGAGGGTGCAGAGATAGATGGAGCATATGAGAGATGCTCTGGAAGTAGCTGTGACGCATGAGAGATTAAAACACTTTTTTTTTCCCTTCCTGCAGGCCCTAAATCTTCTGTCAGTTCAAGTCACGAGAAGCTTCAAACGGCATCTGTCCATTAACGCAAACCAGAGCGGGTCTTCGGCGTTCAAAGCCCGCGGATGGCATGACAGGGGCCCCTCTGAAGTGCAGGGGGGCTGTGGTGCACACATGGGACTCCCACAGCACCCAGTCAGGGTGGCAGCCCCCAACTCCCCCCCCACCCCGCTATGCGGTCTATCAATGAGAAAGTCTTTGATTTGGGCGCATATGACTGTCTTTTAATAAATTTTTTTTTTTGAACATGTCTTAATTAACCGGACATCTTTTTTTTGTGGAGTGGGAAATGGGAGTTATTTTTTTTTGGTGGGGGTGGGGGCTGTGTGGTTTATTTAAAATTCTCCTGCATCTGAGCTCCGCTGGACATTCAGAATGAAAGTGCCACCAGATGCGCTGATTCTTTGCATCGGTTCTGTATTTATTGCGCCGGACATTTCACCTGCCGGCTGGGATGCTGTCATGGTCTGGCGTTCTTTGGCTATTGCTTAAATCCAGAGCAAGTTTGGGTTTTCAATACATTTGAAAGCTTGATGCTTTACTGGAAGTACTGTGACTAGTTGTGCTAGAGCAGAGGTTAAGATTGCCGCTTTCAATCTGAAAAATTGAGGGTCAACCCCCACCCCCACCCCTCAGGGTCTCTCACGATAAAGTTTGCCATTAACAATCGGTTCAATTCAGGACACAGCATTTTATTTTCGTGGCAAAGTCTAGGACTAGTATAAGCGAGTTCACATATAGGCCCTTTAGTTAAATATCTGCGAAGGGGGGGGGGGTTTACAGCGAGTGCTTGGTGTCACATGCAGAGGAAGCGCTCCACTTGGCTTCTCAGAATGACACCCAGTGGGTCCACTTATGGTTCCATGGCTGGTGGGGGGGGCGTCCCATAACCGGAGACATGGGGCCAGGACTTTGCCCCTTTGGCAGTGCTCCAGTGTTCCAGGGAAAGCTGGGGAAGTCCACCTGCCTCCAGCCCCCCCCCCC